TTTGATACCATATTCTACTTCTAGTCAAATGACTTTTGTCATTCCTCTACTTTTTGAAGGTCAGCTAGAGGTTGACTTCGGAGACAGGATGCAGACCACCATAATTCAGGGGGCTTCAGTGTAGATAATGTTGGGGCATGGTAGAGACAGCATCTACCACGGTAGAAACGGCATTTCTGTCAGAGAAGTGTGAGAATAATCCAGTGGTCAGTGGGGACTGCTGTGGGGTTTGTAGTAGGGGCTTAGGTGATTGGAGTTGTCCTTGAGAGGAAAATCAAGTTGTCCTTGAGAGGAAAATCCCTCTCAATCTATGGGGACAGAATGCAAAAGGGGCTGGGCAGGTGAAAGAGGAGATTTTGTAAGAATCTGCTGAGTAGTCTGGGAGAGAGAGGATACCGTTGGAACAAGGATGGGGCAGGGAGATAAAAGGAGACAGGGTGGATCGTGTCGAATTGGAATCAACTTGGGGTAGCCAGTGGCCTAGTGAGAGGAGTAGGGGGAGTAGAAGAGGAAGAGGAGGTGGTTGAAAAGCAGGGGGACAATGACAACCAGGACATGACAGTGAGGTAGAAGGCTTTGCAAATAGTGAAGTCATTGATCAAAAAGGAGAGACATCAAGGCCTTGTTGCATAGAACTCTTCACTGAATCTGTTATGACCTAGATAACATTAAGACTTATGCAGTCTCTGGGATTGTGGGAGGGGTGACAGTATATAGTGTTGATCCTTATGGTGAGGAAACTCAGAAGAGACGTGTATGTTACTGGGGGCAACTGGGAGGCAGAGCAAACATACTGGGGGCAACTGGGAGGCAGGGCAAACATTTGATACTGTGCTGGCCTGGTCATGCCTCTTCAGTAGGAGAGGTACGTTGACTAGAACATGGAGGCTGCTGGCCAAAGGAGCAGGAACTCACATGCTATTGCAGCTCTCATGAAGCAGAGCACAATGATCCAAGGTGCAGGGTTGTCCAGGCAACAGGATCCTTTCATCCCCACATCCACTGTGCCTTCATTGGACCCATGGGTACTTGGCATGGATACGAACTGAATCCTCTTCAGTGTGTCTTTCTGCATATATTTATCTGTTCGGCAACATCGTTTTAGTTCTGGAACTTTATATTGTCTTCACATTTGTAAAACCACACTACTGCATGGAGAGTGGCTGCAAGAAAGCAGTGATATTTTTGCAGGGAATAAAAAATACAAAAATTCCTATAGAAAAAAAGGTGAGAAATCATACTTGGGAGATGGCAAGAATTGATTCATATAAATTCAACAACTGCTTGGCTGCACAAGATTGGTTAGCTGAATTAAAGGACTGACTTGTCTCATGAAGAATAATCAGACTTTCTCCCTGAGGGGAAACTCACGTAGCCCACATGTGCCACTCAGAGAAGGTATAAGAACCAGGTTCCTGCCACGCATCCTCATTATAAGACCAAACTGCTCATCCTCTAATAACTCTTCCATTTAAGTGTTCCTTTGGAAGGTTTGTGACCTGAGCATATGAACCAAAGGGACTTGTTTCCAAGTGTGCACACAGCAGACTTTTCAGGACTGTGGCTGCCAGCCTTGTGGCCTTGCTAAGAGATGCCTGCATCGGGTAGCACCTTGATAAATAAGTCACAAGGTTGGATCAGATCGGAGGCTTCTGCTGGTTCTCAGGGCTCTCCTTGGCCTTCGAGCTCCAGTCTGGGAGCCTCCAGGAACATTTTCTCTCCTTTCATTTCTGGGATTGCACTATCCATGGGATGGAGAGCCACCCTACTCTCTGTGTGCAGGGGCAGAGCTAGCAGCTCCAGCCCAGGACAGGGGATGGCTTGGGATATGTGCAAACATTGCCCAGTGGTTTGGGAATCTGTAAGTTTTCTCTTTTAATCTCCTTCATTTTACTTGATCTCCTTCATTCCATTTGATAACCATGTCCAAACCTCAGTAAACTAGCACTGCTTATTTTTTGGAAGGAGAGAATTTTGTCTGTAAGGCTTAAAAATGCACTAACTCTGGTTTTGATCTGATACTGTGAGTGTGGGCTCCTTTGCTCAGCTTCATCATGCTGTGGTTGCCAGTAGCTAAATGATCTGTATCTATGGATCTTTCTTACCTTACTGGACTTGAGCAATAGCTATGGGATCCAGCTCTCAAATGTTCCTTTTTGAATATTTACTTGATGTGTGTTATGATATCAGAGTTCCCACATATACAGGCCTCTCAGTTTAGAGTTTGGTGTTATAGATAGCTTTTGTTATTATGTCTTGAGAATTCTATCAGGCAAGCTAATCTTTTTGTTAAATTACTGAAAGCTTCCCCAGCTCCACCAGGTCAACACTGTGAAATTCTGTTGTGAGTAGGATTTCTTGGTTGGTTTTGAAAGTTTGCTGAATAAATGAGCTTTTATTGGGCATTTTGAGGAAACGTCTTCTACTTTATCTTCCTATAGACAGGTTTATACCCGCTAATAATAGTAAAATTAATTATACTAACTACCTGTCATTGAGCACTGCCTGCGTGTCAGTGCTATGCAAGAAACTTTTCAGATGTTGTCTATTCTAATCCTCATTTTAACCTCATCACATAAATGCTGAATTCTCCCTCCAGTCAGCCCTTGGGGAAACTGAGGTTTATGAGTTTCGGCGATTAACCCAAGTAAAGCCTCTGCCAGGGGGTGCATGGTTTGTCACTGGATTTGAGCTTATATTTTTCTGACTCCAGAGTTTGTCACCAGGGCCTGGGGGATGCTTTGTATCTTTAAAAAGAGTGTTTTCGGGCAGACTTCCAGAAGATGGTGTGCCTCTCTTGCACTGAAAATGGAGGTTTTTATGGGAAAAGCAATTTCCTCTGGTTGATTAGAAATGTGTGGTGCTAATGTCTTAAGGCCATGGTTCTCCTGCAAGTTTGTACCTTAAAAATGACCTCTTCATTTCAGAGTTTCTAAGATTGTTTTTTTATTCCTAACTGGATTTTATGTTTTAAAAGCATGTTTGCTTGCAAATGTGATAGGGAATGCGTCACAAGGATTTTCCTCATTTTTCCTTGTCTTGTAATGAACTTTGCCCTGATTTGGGAGATGCTGAATTCTTAGAGAAGGTATCACGGTAATTAAGGTATCACTGGGTCATTTACAGTGGTTTGTAGAAATTTGTATGCATGAAGGTTCCTTGTTGCCTCTTACTTGGAGACAGGATCTATAGCTCTCTTTAGATCTTCAAAGGAGCCCCTGAAGGCAGTGAGAAGCCTGAGGGTCTAGGCCTGTGCAGCTCAGCACCTACCCAGAATCAATCCAGGAAAATCTTGCTATCTCCCCATGACTTTGCTGCTTCCTCTGTCCTATGAGGGTGCTGAATGCATACACTGTGATTTGTGCAAGTTGTAAGGACTCAACAGCACTGAACAACGTTCTGATTCTTAAAATTAGGCTTGTCCAGATGCCACGTCTCAGCAGATGGTTATCCCCTACTTCTCTGTACCAGAAACCATCACTTCCTGACCTTCTCTCTGCTGCAAGGGCCAACATTCCAGGACCTGACAGACGCCTGGATGTGTCAGCATCCACCTGCCAGATACCCTAGGGGTTTTGTTTCTAAGCAATGATTAAGGAGACAGTAAATGGTCATAATGACTAGGGTAGTGTCATGATTCAGAAGACCTCCACTAATGGTCTTCCTTCTTCCTACTCATGTGATCATGAAGATATTACATAATTTGTTGGATCTTTACTCATTGCATATATAAAATGGTGGGAGAAAACCTGTCCTGTGAACTTGTAAAGAATGAACACATACAAAATGTTTGCATGGTGACTGTCCCCTAAGTGAGAGCTAAAAATTGGATTCATGCTAGACTTAGATTGTGGGGACCATTTACTGGCTGGGTGGTGGCGGCGGGATATTAATCACTTGCAACCCATTCTATCTACTTTCAGTAGCACTCTGCTATCTTCTGTGTGCTTGCCCTGGATCTTTTACTTTCACCTTCCTTAGCTGCTAACAAAACTAGGCACTGTTGTGGCAGCTTAATCCCAGTGGGGACAAGCTTCCTCACTCACTCATATGACAAGTGGTAACTGCCTCGGGTGACTAGCAAGAAAGACTGGATCCCTGTTCTCTTGGAATATAAGTTTAGAGTCATGGTTGGTCATAACTAGTCAAACAGAAATCTGTGACAGCAAACATGGAGAACCCAGCATGCATATGAAAGAAACTAGCAAGGTGCTAAAGAATAATGGGCCTTGTTAGGAATTCAGGAGAGGTGTTTCTGAAGATTTCATGTTTGCTGTTTGAGTCATGGAAGAGAGAAAGGAATCCAGGGGAAAGGTATGGGCATTTCCAGTAGGAGCAGAGTATACAGAGGCCCTGACAGAAGAGTTGTGTGTTCAAGGTTGGAGAAGAGGACCTGTGTGGTTTGCACTGAGACAGCTGAGAGTCTAGGTGGTACTACTCAGGGAACATGTCAGTGTGTGTATTTATTAAAAGTTACAAAGATAAGTGCTGCAGGTTTGTTTATTTTTAAATCAGCAACTTGGTAATGTGCTTTGTGTTTAAAATGGAAACTTGATATAGAATATATCAGAAGGAAGCAAGTGGGACAGGTGAGGAGAAACCTCTAGAAATCATGTGGAGACTATGAGGAGGGGACTTTGTCTAATGAATGGCAACCTCTTGCTTCCAGTAAGGAGTCCATCTAAACTATTACAGAACTTTCTTGAACATCTCCTTCTGTGTCTTCATGGAAAGGTGAGTCCTTCCCTGTCCCTCATGCCTGCCTGTGTGGAAGTAAGGACACACTTCTCTCCTTGTGTTGTTGCCGAGGACGGAGAATTGTGAAGACCCCCTTCCTATGCTGTTGTCTCTACTTCTACCAACTAAATCAGTCTATTCTTCATTTCAGCTTTTGGAGTCTGATCTCCTTGTTATACTTTCTCGTGGAAATTTATTATTCCTGAAAGGATAAGCAGAAAGTTGTGGTTGCTGGTGAAAGGCCCAGGCTCTTTTTGAGGCCAGAGATCCGTGGATGCCACACACCCAAGTAAATATGTAACTTAATATGTCTATAACTTTGACTGAATTTCCTTAGAAACTGGTGGATGTATTTTGCAAAAAAGAAACTCTACCCACCAGATAAAATATATTTTTAAAAAAGTTCAGTTCTTATTCATGCCAGTCCTGTTCAGGCTCTTTGCTTGCTTGAGCCTGAGTGTACAGGGCAATATGCAGTGCTCCCTAAAACCCACATCTCAGGGTACAGTTTCTGAGTGGGCACGGCTGATGGAGAATCAGGCAAAGATGATGTACCTAAGCCATGTGAGGATTCTATTGTCCCATATCCAGGATGGGGAGAGAGAACTGGCTTGTACACTGCTTATCTCCACAGAGGGTTTTGAAATTGGTAGTAAGAGGAGCCCTGACTGTTGAGGTCCAGGCCTGGTCAGAGCCGTGTACTCTGCTCACGTGGGCACATCTGATTCTCAGAATCACGTCTGCAGCAGTGACTATGATGCCTGGAATACATAGTCCTCCTCCTGTCAAACATCTCACTTTTAGTTCTTGAAGATAGATAGGACCTACCAGCTCTAAGGGGCCAGGGAGGGTTGATTATGGCAGAGCCAGCGAGAAGGCTCTGGGGATGCAGACTCTGTGCCCACCTTCCTCAGAAGGTGCTGGACAGGGCATGCAGCAGTCTTGTGAAAATCTGCTTGACTGGTCACATCACTCCTGGCTGTGTGCTAGGGTGATAATGTCCTGCCTAATGTCCTCCTCTTCAGGACATTCAGTTGGAGATGATCCAAAATAGCTTGAATGAGTAGCAACAAAATACTTGATAAACCATGGGTGAAACTGAATGAATTTAAATAAATGTGTATACCAATTTTAAAAGGAAAAAAGGGGGGGACAGTTGTGACATGTTTCATTAAATTAAAGTAAAAATCAAAATCAGCAAGCAACTATAAACCAGAGATACACTACATGGGGAGGGGAGGGAGTAGGATCAGGGCAGGGGGCAGGTGGGAATTGTATGAGGACTATAACCAAGATGAAAATGCATACATTGTGGGCCTCCCTGGTGGCGCAGGTGGTTGAGTGATGTACTGTGAAGCTGTCCGCAGTCTCTGTAGTGCGGCCAGCCAGCGAGGGTCCCACATGGGTCCTGTCTCACCTCCTGCTCTCCTCAGCAGTGTATTTCAGTACATCTGCCTGTTCTGCTCCCCACTCTGACTCTGGTGAATCCTCTCACCCTCCTGCACATCTGGTCTGTATCCGGGTTCTTGTATAAATAAATCTTTTTTTTTTAAGATTATTTATTTATATAAGCACTGGGTACAGTCAGAAGCACGGGAGGGTGAGAGAATTCACCAGAGCCAGAGCGGGGAGCAGAACAGGCAGACTGATGAAGTACACTGCTGAGGGGAGCAGCAGGTGTAGCAGGAGAGGTCTGCGCACCATGTGGGACCCTTGCCGGCAGCTGGGGATAGAACTGGCACTGCAGAGGCCACGGGCAGCTTTGCAGCCCAGTGCTCAACCGCTGCGCCACTGGGGAGGCCCTGTATAAATAAATCTTAAAAAAAAAAAAAGAAAGAAAGAAAATGCATACATTGTGCAAGAATGAAAAATGACATAAGAAATATATAAAATTTAAAAAATAGTAGTAAATAAATACACAAGAAAATGAAAAAAAAATGTATCCCAGTTTTCTTAAATGGTTAGAAACATGAGACTAGGCAAGATGTAAAAAGTTATATCTTTGTATTTAATTTCTTACTATTCATAAATGGCTTTAGACTTTAAAATGATTACCATCTTTATTACCATTCAGTGCCGTGTTTATTGTGATTACTTTTCTTTTTATGCAATACCTTAATAAGATTTAATTTATTTGATGGATCAATTTAATAATGCACCCAAACACAATACTGAAAAGTGGTTAAAAGAAATATTTCTTGGGCAGTATTGTGTTTGGGTCTTACTTAGTAACTTAAAAAAATTACAATTATATCAGAAATCTGTAAAGTTATCTCTTTAAAAATAGTACACAGGCATATAATATACTCAGGTATATTTTAATTTTATCATTTCCATGCATTGTGGTATACCTTTGAAAACATGTTTATTTGATTTGATGGTCAGTAGCCCTGAATTGTGCTTATTTGTGAACTTGCCTTCTAGGGCCATTAGCTGTGTGTATGTGGGGTTGAGGAGACACCATACAGCCTCTGAACTGCTTACTCAGCAGGGATGAGGCTAAGCCATGTTCAGTTGCTGGCAGGAGGAGCTAGGAAGATCTTAAAAATGAAGTAACCGTGAGGCCAAGTCAGGCTTTTATAACTTTCCAGCTCCCTTCTTTTTTTGTTTTAAATTTATTTATTTATTTATACAAGGACTGGGGTACAGGCCAGATGCACAGGAGGGTGAAAGGATTCACCAGAGACAGAGCAGGGAATGGAACAGGCAGACTGATGAAATACACTGCTGAGGGGAGCAGCGGGCGCGACAGGAGAGGTCTGCAGTGCCATGTGGGACCCTCACTGCCCAGCCGGGATTGAACTGGCACTGCAGAGGCTGCAGACAGCTTCACAGTGCTGAACTCAACCACCTGCGCAACCAGGGGAGGCCCTCCACCTCCCTTCTTGGAGGGAGAAAAACCTCCTGCTGCAGAAGAATCTCCCTAGGAGAGCATGGCACCTTCCTATGACTGCAGCCTGAACAGACCCTTTAGTCAGAGCTCCCTTGGTGGTTATCATGACTGTGAGGATTGAAGTATTGGGTTTCTCTGAAATTGGCTTTAAATAGAACTTTTTCCGTTTCCTCAGAACCTGCATGGTAAATGGGCTCAACGCATGTGAGGAGTGATACTCAAAAAAACTGGCATAGCCACTAACTTCAGTGTCCTGTGTTCTTGGACATTGAGGAGATGTTTGAGGGACAGGAGAATCATAGAGTGCCTTTTGGACTGGACCCAGGAAAGTAGAGTTGTGTGTACTTTCCCTTCTCAGTCTGCAGGCCTGCAGCCTACAGATTAAGTTTTAGTTCAGCTGCCTGCTACAGTCCTGAGATTGGAACTTACTGAACCTCAGTGGTGTCAGATGTGCAGCTCACATAGTCCTAGAGGCACTGGCAATCAGCCATTCAGCTGGGGGTGGAGGCCTGTAGGAGTACAAACCTACCTGGCAGTGTCCTGGCTGTGTGAGCACTACCAGCACTGCCCTGAAATTCAAACAGTAAAGATGTGATGATTTTGAAGTTCTGACTGCTAACTTTTGAGATGCCAGAAATGTTTTTTATATCTTTGTTCATTTTATGAATACTTGCTGCCAGGTCACACCCAGCTTTCTAAGCTGGAAGGTGAAAGGGTGTTTGGTGCCCGATGGCTCCTCCTTGCTCACTGTTTGGGGCTGTTGAAGGGTGAAAAGTCCAGCTGGGTACACCTGCACAGGGTGTGCCTGGCTGTGGCCAGTTCCTGGTCTTTGCTACCATAACTCACTGCCCGTATGTGCTCCTTCCTCTCAGGTAGACCTTGCATACAACTGCACGACACCTACGCAGGTCTTCCAGAAGGGACAACCTCCTTAATAGCACAGTCTCATTGTACAGTCATGCAAAGATGGTTAGAGCCCGTGTGATGACAGCAGACATTCGCAGGGTGGAGGAAACCATTGAGTGTGACCCAGTCACCTACAGATGGTGCCCACATCCAGAGGAACTTTGGGGCAACTTCCATCCACTGGGCAACTTCTATTGTATGGCCCATGGCTACATCATCAAACACACAGTCCCATCCCCACAGTATTGCTTTCCTTTCTTCACAGCAATGCTTAATCAGACCTGCCAACTTCCTTCTGTCCCTGGGCCTGGCAGGGACTCTTTCCTGGGTAAACTCAGCCCGTTTTCTTCAAAATGGCCTTAGCCTAAACTTCTGTAAGCTTCTACTTCCAGTCTCACCCCATGGTATGCTCAGTAAAAGAAGCTTCTTCTTTTGTTTTTATTATTTTGCTTTCCTGTCTCCAAGATGTCTCTTAAAATATACAGAGCTTTTTTTTTTTTTTTACGCAGTGCATATCTTTCCTTTTTTTTAAGATTTTTTTTTTTATTTATTTATGCATATAAGAACTGGGGCACAGGCCAGAGGTGCTGCGGGTGAGAGGATTTACCAGAGACAGAGTGGGGAGCAGAACAGGCAAATGTACTGAAATACACTGCTGAGGGGAGCAGCAGGCGAGTCAGGAGAATTCTGCTGTGCCATGTGGGTCAGCTTTCTGGCTGGGCATCAAACTCATGCCACAGTGGCTGTGGATAGCTTGATAGCACTGAGACTTTAACTCCTACGTCACCAAGAAGGTCCCTGAATATATTTTAATTAAAAATATGTTTTTATTGTCTCCACCAAATCACCCATGCCTGTACCCCATGTGCCTCCATGCCCCATTCCCTCCACTCTTGACCCTGTTCCCTCTGGTAACTTTTATCTTCTTGCTGAGTTCAGTTTTTTATTTCTTTTATTTTTTGTATGTAATAGGTTTATTTATTTATTTTTATTCTGCAGATGAATGAAAACATCCAATATCCAATATCTGTCTTTCACTTTTTGGCTGGTTTCACTCAACATAATCAACTCAAGTTTCATCCATTTTGTGCCAAATACCACCACTTCATCTTTCTTCAAAGCTGTGTAATATTTCACTGAAGATATGCTCCACAGCTTCTCCATTCATCTGTTGAAGGGCACTTGGGTTGCGTGTGTGATCTGGTAATTTGTAAACAGTGCTGCTATGTACCTAGGTATGATAGATCTTTCATGTTATTTTTTTTTAATGTCATTTGGACAGATACCTAATTGTGGTATTGCTGGGTCAAATGGGATTTCCATTTTTATCTTATTGAAAAATCTCCACACTATTTTCCAACTCTTTTCTACAGGGGATGTACCAGCTTGGAAACTTGTAAAGTTTCTTTTTCATCCAACCTTGCCACAGTTGTTTAATTTGTTTCTTTTTCATGTGGGCCATTCTCAGAGTTGAGGTGGTAGTATCTCAG